TTGGCAACTGTTATTAGAATGAAAATCAAATTATACTTTTGAAGCCACTGAAAAATTAGCCAAAAAGCACAGAAGGATAAAAAACAATGAATAGGCAAAGATATGGCAGGGGAGTACAAATAAAATTCAAGTTTAATAATTTTGGACAAAGGAGATAAAACATAAAAGATAGTGAAATACTATTTTATAGTAATTAGAAGCACATTCCATAATAAAAATAAATATGCTCTAAATAATACCATGTAAATTCTAACAAATGTGTTGGAAATTCAAATATAGTTGGGATAGAACATTTTAAATGTCCATCTTCACAATAACAATATAAAATACTTCAAGTTTGGGCTGGGAAGGTGGCTCAGTGGTAGAGCGCTTGCCTTGCATGCATGAGGCCCTGGGTTCGATTCCTCAGCACCACATAAGCAGAAAAAAAAAAGCCGGAAGTGGCGCTGTGGCTCAAGTGGTAGAGTGCTAGCCTTGAGCTAGAGAGCTGAGGGACAGCGCCCAGAGTTCATGCCACACAACCGGATCAAAAAAAAAATACTTAAAGTTTTAATATTTCTTATAGCAAACTTCTTACATCTAGCTAGCTAGCTAGCTATCATTTCTATCTCCCTTGCTTTCTCTATCTTTATCCATATTTTCCTAGTATTCCTTAATAATAGTTAAAATTGAATCACAAAGTAGTTCATCAGTGAAAATTGGTAGATTAAAAAATTAAAATAACCTGTATCACATTCTTTGAAAAAATGCAATAACTCTTGGCTAAGAAAAGGATAAACAAAATTTCCCAGTGGAAATTGGAATCTGCCTTCTTCAGTCATTCTAATTTGAAGACAAAATTACAAATATAAGCTATTCAGAAATAAACAGCAGGAAAAGCAGGACCTAGCAGAATATGTGAGGTTCAACACCCATAAGTACTATTAATTTGTATAAGAATTGCTTTTATGGGGCTGGGAAGGTGGCTCAGTGGTAGAGCGCTTGCCTTGCATGCCTGAGGCCCTGGGTTCGATTCCTTAGCACCACATAAGCAAAAAGAAAAAAGCCAGAAGTGGCACTGTGGCTCAAGTGGTAGAGCGCTAGCCTTGAGCTGAAGAGCTGAGGGACAGCGCCCAGGCCCAGAGTTCAGGCCCCACGACTGGACCAAAAAAAAAAAAAAAAAGAATTGCTTTTATTATTAAGATAAAATAAAATATACAAAATAAACTTTCATGTCAAGATGCTTGGAAATAATGAAATACAAGACACAGAAGGAATTAATAACTAAAAGAATAAAACACTGAATCAGCATTTTAAGTGTTGAATACATTTAAGACACAAATCATTAAATAATGAGGAAATGTATTAAGCTAATAAAATGTTTCATCAAAACATTAGGATAAGAAACACTTCCAAAAACCAATAATTTTTCCCATTATTTTCAAACTTTTGGTGGAAGTGAGTCATGGACCACTATGAGGTCTTTCTATAAGAAACTCACTGACATGAACATTTCTCAGTTCAATGGAATTTATGGAGTTCGAACTGTTAAATCCACTGCTTTAGAAAAACAACAATGATCTAGGAAATATAATAGAAAATATTTCATTCACACTGGAAGCACAGCTTTGAATACACTGCATGAGATTTAGTCTCACACACACACACACACACACACACACACACACACACACACACATACTTAGGGACATAAAAAGAAATGTTATATCCTTAACTAAGAAAATAAATAAAATATAGCCAAAATGTAGTTGCATTGTTGCTAAGATTTACTCATACTTTTCTTAGAATGAAAATGAAACTCTAAAAGTATTTTGGAACACAAAAAATATTTAAAATGCACAGGGTTAGGAAAATAATTCACTAAAGACCAAGGGGATTTTTGCTCAGTATTAGAATGAAGAGGTATTGGTTTTTCCAGATGTTAAAACTAATTAAGGCAATGTGGTCTGAGTATAGAAATAGACACACAAAAACAAATAGTACAGAAACAGATTACAAAAATCAGCAATGGACCCAAGGCTATCAAAGATTCTGACTTTTTTAGTGGCTAGTAAAAGATTAGTCCACCATTGGACTGGAAAAATTAGCTAATCAGTAGAGTGATGGAATGCTGGCTGTTGATCTTTTAACATAAAATAAATTCTAGAAAAAGCATTGATTTAAATGAAAAAGAAAAAGTAGCCATCAAAAGAACAACAGCAGACCACTCACAATTTTGAATCAGGATACTGAATTTCTAAATAACATATAGAAAATAGAGTCCATATTTATATGGAAAAAACATAATAACCATGTGGGAACAAAAAATACAAGAATGGCCCAATATTTTTAAATGTTTCTAATGAATATCACTATTCTGTAGATAAAGGAAAATCTGTGACTATTTTAACAAATGACAGAAATGCATTTGATTACATTGAACATTGATTCCCGATTTATATTAAATGAACAGTGGAACCTTTTGAAGTAATCTCCTTTTGAGACAATGAAACATTTGAGGTATGTCAATTAATATTGGGCCTGTCCTTGTAGTATGTGGGGAATCATACGTAGTAGATAACAGTAAATTATATTATTCCAATAATATTTAACTTATCATTTCACACTCTGCAATGCTAATGCAAGGCGCTGCAGACTTTGTTACAATTTGCCAATTATTTAAACTGAAGAAGCTCAGAAGTATGAGAAGAGCAACATGGTATGATGGAAAGTTCATGAATTGGACCACATTCAGAACTCAGCCATCAGGATACTTCTTTGACCTCAGAAGAGTGTTTCAACCTATTGTCTTCATCTGTAAAACTCAAGTAACAACAGACAAGCCAAAGCATGTTTTGCGGTGCCCATGCTTCTGGCTGAGCACAGCAAAAACTTTTAATTTAAGTCAAAAAGCAGGTGCATGAAGATGATAGAGTAAGATCAGCTGGTAGATTGGGTAAGATAGTTAAAGCCTAGAGAAACAACCCACACAAGGTTGAGTTCCAGATTTCCACCTTTTCTTTTTTCTTATGTTCTCAACCTGAGGTAAATCTTAGTCACGTGGCAGTGGCTAAGAGATTGTCTAAAAATCCCCATATTTCTGGGAAAGTCCCCCATACCATGGTTTAAAAAAGGGGAAGAGAGTTTTCATTTTTCCAAGGGTGGCCTCAGTGGAGAGTTGTTTATCAGCATTGAGGGTGGCCAAAGTTCCCACAGAAAACCCTTCTTTTTTGCCAGAGTATTTGGAGAGGGGTCCTCCATGGGCCAGATTGATGGATGGATTCTGGATATGAAAGTAGTAAGTCCCAGGCTCAACCCTGAGCCACACATGCACAGCTTTGGACTTTGGACAGAAACGAAAAGTTAAGCAAAGTGTTTGTGCTGACACTGAAACCACCATCCACAGAAGAGATAGCACTTGTGGGCTGAGTATAACGGGGGTTATTGCTTACCACAGCAAACACAGAAAAAAAAATTCAACGTTTTCCAGAAAATTTAAACATGATCCTTAGTCTAAACAGCATACAATTCAAAAAATTTCATGTTATCCTCTAGAATCACTCAACAAATAAAAGGACCTAGAAATCAATTCTCAAGGGCAAAGGCAATTAAGATGCCGATCCTGATATGTTAGATGCATAATACAGACTGTTTAAAACAGTTACAATGACTGTATTCTGTAAGTTCATGGAGAACACACTGGAAATGAACAGGAATATAGAACTCTCTTAAGCAGAGACATAAAAAAGCTTGAAAAGAACAGTAAAATTTTAGAATTGAAAACCTCAATGTCTGTAATGATATATTGAATGGGGCTAGAGAAATGTAGGTGTTCAGTGGTAGAATACTTTCTTGCCCTGTGTAGGGACCTAAGAGGGTTCAGTTCCTAGCATTCCACCCCCCCCACACACAAAAATGTAGTGAATTAAGTAAATAGCTGAAGGAGTGACAGGATAGTTAGTGAAGCTGAAGAAACAGCAACAGAAATTACCAAATTGAAAAACAGAGAAAAAATTGAAAAAGAAATAAATAGACCTTCAGGGAATCTGGAATAAGATCCAAAGATCTAATACTTTCATCATTGGAGTCCCAGAAAGAGGAGGAAATGATTGGTACAGACTTTAAAAAAAAAACAAACTTGAAAAGTAATGGCTGGAACCTTCTCAAATTTGGTAAAAGTTGTGTTTATAGGTTCAAGAAGCTTTGTAAAGCCCAAATCAGATAAACTCAAAACCTGCCCAAACACATCACAAACTAAAGTACTAAAAAGATAAAGAAAAAATCTTACAAGAAGTTAGGAAAAAAACAGTGTATTACATATACCAGTTACCAGCCGAAATTGATGTAACAATGTTATGAGGATAAATATAAAATGATATGTAAAGTTCTATGTGTTGTTTTTCTAATTATATCTCTTTCAATTCATCTTAATACACTATATTTTTTATCTTACTCCTTCAACCTTCCCATAATTTTCCTCTATGCATACTTGATCACTAGACCATATCTATATCTAAATCTATGACATTTATATTTATATTGATCTATACTGTGTTGTTCAAACACATGTATGATGTATGCACACATACACTGCAAATTGTTTGGGTATCTTTTATATTATTTTTTTCAAATCCACCACAAGCTTGTTCCTGTTGAAACGAGAATCTTCACTAATCCACGCCTTGTTTTGAACAGTTTTTTAACCCTATAAATTTACTTCAATATTACACAGATATAATAATGAATCTTTTATTGTCTTGTGAAGATCAAATAAGATATACAATAAAGAAAAAACAAATAGACTCCTTTGCTCAATTACAACACCGTAAGTCACATGCAGCACCAATCTGGAAGATCTGTAAGCCTGATTCTTTCAGCCAGTATTTTAGAGATATCATTTACCAAATTTCCTCTATAAGCCAGTAAGTTTGGGTATGTAGAAGGGAACAATGGTGTGCAAATCTCAGAGCTCCTCAGGAAGAGATAGACGTTCTAATGACAAGAACGAGAAGTCACCTTACCTGTCTTCGGTTAGTTTCATTAAGGTTGTTCCTCGAGTAGAGAAGACAATAAAGGACATCCTTAGCTGTGGACTGTAAGGAAAACAAACTCCATTAGGATAGACAGAAAACCTGTGGTGTTGTGTTCCTTTCCAGGTTTACCCTTTGTTGTTGTTGTCGTTACTGTTTGTTTTTGCTTTGCACCAGGGGTGCCAGAGCTGAGGAATTAAAATCAAGTAGGGGGAGGGGGAGGGGAACAGCTGGTGTCTCAAGCATTTGGCCACTAGATTCAAAATTGTTAACAAAGAGAAGGCCTGCTGTGTCTTCCTGGAGACCCCTTCTGCTTGGATATGATCTCTCAGGGAACACGGGTCACAAGTGAGAAAAAAATCCATCCCTGCCTTAGATTCTGTGTGAAAGATGCTTCTAGAAGAGGCCTGGTCTGCAAAATGTCTATAAAATGCGAAATGCTGATATACACAGCTGACAAAACCTAACGTGAAGAAAAGGAGGAGTTAGACTGTCATAGCGTGATGCTACTAGCCATTAACATCCTATAACAACCTCCCTTTCATCTGAACGTAGGATTACAATGAGTTTTTAATTTTTCCCTGGCTTCCCAGAATGTTATCTTTTAAGGAGAAAATGAATTTACTGGCTACAGAGTATGTATTCCAGTTGGCCTCACTTTTAATGAGTAGTCTGGCATTGTTTTTATGTGACAGTATTCAAGAGCATTGCCAATGTAAAACTCACACTCTAGTAGGAAGCACAACTCTCAGCTGGGGACCAAACATGTTTCTCAGATGACAGGCTGGATGCCAGACTATAGTGGGCTCAGCAATGCAATGTCACCTGTGTGGCTCTCTCTGGGCCCAACTAGTTCACTCATGCTAGCATCACAGTATGTCTTGGCAAGGTAATAATCTCCCACACTCGACCTAGTTCCAAACTTCATAGTTCCCACTTCCCTAAGCGATCTTCACACCTGGTCCTCCCTTCCTATCCCTTAGCTTAGGACCTTCGCCTCAGTCATCTGGCCGGTGCAAGTGTTTCTAAGCTGACCTCCTTTCTTGGTGTCAGTTCTTGCTCCCATGTATTACTCACACTGCTCCCCAAATTATTTTTTAAAGCATAAGTCAGATCCCATCACTTGTCTGCTACAAAAACTCTAATGGCTCCTATTGCCTAAATTATTTCTATTGTATCTGACACATCTCTGAAAATACAGCACGTTTTAGAACCTGGTAGGGCTCATGTAATACCTGGTGAATTGAACATTGATCTTTTGAAAAAGACTTTGGTTCCTTGTCCTGAGCTGACTGCGTTGACTGGCACCTTCCCCTGGCACCTAAGTTGACTGCTACCATCTCATCAATGCTAGGGCACTGGATACCATGTTCTAAATGAGGAAAGCTATCATCATCATTGTAATATAGCAAAGGCCAACTTTTTCAACTTCTTAAAAAGTTGCATGTATCATGCACTGTCTTGATTAAAGTTATGATCTTTTAACATTTGAAGCAAATGCATAAGATAGGCATGAATTCTGTTTTCTATAAGAGGAAAATGGGCCTTGAAAAAGTAGCAGCTTTCCCCAAGTTATGCAACAGGGAATGATGGACTGGGGCATAAAAGTTCTCATTCTAGAATTTGGGCTCTAAGTCATTATTACATAGCTGTGTTTACCCCTGAATTCAGCTCTGAAAGGAACAGATTTGAAATGTGGGGAATGTGGGTCATGACATAACTGGTATATGAATCCAGACTGGAGATTGATAACTAGGAATTGTCAACGGATATGGGCAAAGGTGTTTAGAGAAACTGACATCAGTGAGAATAATTGTGAGCTAAATAGAACCAACAATGACTGAAGAACTAGCAAAGGTTGGGGAGAGAAAAGGAAAGCCAGGGCTAGTGCAGGAGGGAAATTTAAGGAGGGATAAATTGGCATTAGTTAAGGAATCTCTATACAGCAAACTAAGGAATACAATGTTCTTGCTGAGGACATCGTTAGTGGTGGTGATGAGACTCAAGAGGTAGAAGTTAGAGACAGAGGCAAGATGGTAGTGGCTAAGCAATGAATGAGAGGAAAGAGTATGGAGACAGCAAGGAAAGAAATAAGAGTTGTAGCTATAGAAAGACATGACCAAATTTTTTTGTCATCATTTCTTCTGGGGACAAAGGATGAAGTGTTTAATTGAAGTCTGGGAGAAAGTGCCAGGGGAAAGGTGGGAAAAATCTGAGAGAGAAACAAAGACCTATGAGAGTCTAGGGATGGCACAAAATGGGACTAACATGGGGAAGTTGCCTTTTAAAAGGGAAAACATTTAGCCCTCCGGACCTACATGAAACTGTTAGGAGCAGGATTGGAACTTGAAGCAATCATCTGCTTGTCTCTGGGCTCTGAACAGAATAGGTGATGAGACTCTCTGCTGAGAAAGAAACGTATGAGATGTAGCTTGGGGACTTAAGGAAAGTGGTGAAGAATTAGAATCATTATTAGGAAGACAGGAGTCAGGCTAAAGGCAAATAACTGGACTTGGTATGTTAAGAACCTCACTGAAATTGGGAATGTTACACATTTGATAAATATCACCACTATTCTTGAACAGATTTCTTTCTTTGCAGTATCAGCTGCCTTAGCCTATTTATTCAAATAGCTAAGTAAAAGTCATCCAATCATTTATTGATTCAAAAATATTGATGGAGCCATCCTAGGTAATCAGGAGGCTGACATTTGAGGATCAAAGTTTGAAGCCACTTCAGGCAGCAAAGTCCATGAAATTCTTGTCTCAGGTTAACAACCAAAAAGCTGGAAGTGGATCTGTGGCTCACGTGCCAGAGTGCCACTTTTGAGCAAAAAAGCTAAATGACAGTTCCTAGGCCCTGTGTTCAAGCCCCAGTACTAGTATTTATACACATACATTGATAAAGCATGAACTTGGTGTTTGATACTCAAACAAAATGCAGTCTTTGCCTCAAAGGGTTTGCATGATGTCTTGTTGCCACACATTGAGGAGTCCACAGCCAGGGAGTCAGGAGGACAGCCTAATGGTCTGGAGTAAGCTCACTTCTGAGGTCCCCAGTTTCTTCATTTGTTTCTTCATTTGTAAAGCAAAGACTCAGCCTTAGTCCACACCCCTCTCCTTCCTTTGATTTGGAAAGTGAGGAACTGCTTGAGCTAGGCAAGAGATGTCCAGTGCCCACCCTGAGGCAGGGGCTGGACTAATTAACGTGCCCATGCTCTCTTTGTATAATCTTTACTTGGAAACCAGTGTTCAGCCAATGTAAGTAATTTGCTATGGTTGCACAATGGAGCTTGGATTCAAAAGCACATCTATCTAACTTCAGAGACTTTTCCACTGGACTGGACTCCAGAAGGAGAAGACAAGGACAGCAGTAGAGGCACAGCAGATCCTGCCAAGTATCTGGACACAGATGCATTCTATGTCACTCTAAAAGGCCAGTGGATGAGAGTACAAGAAAGGACATTTTGGCTCCACAGCAAAAAGTCTCCTGAAAACTGAAATTGTTCAATTATTATTGGACTGTTTGTCCACGAAAGCAGAAATTCTCACTGGAGATATTCAAAATAGGAGCTACTGAATGCCTCCTCTGATTGAAAAGTAATTTCTTTCCATTCAATTTTCAAAGATTCCCCTATTTTTAAATGCCTCTCCTATATTTGCTTCTCTAGTTTCCCTGTTGTTTTTTTCCCCCACCCTTTTCTCTCAGCCTCTGTTCTCTTGATCATATGGATTTAGTTGATTTCCTGCTACAGCTTCCAATTTGGGGCATTATGAGAAGTCACTTCCTAACTCCTTCCCTCCAATCAGCTCCAATTTGGGGCATTATAGAGAGGTCTTCCTTAATTTCTGCCCTTAATTAAGCAGATAGGGATGTGTTGGTCAATAAATAAGTCTGAGAGGAAACTGTCATTAACCTGAGTTAAGAGGTCACCCTGTATTCTGAGATGAAGACTCTTAACTTTAACAAAACCAGTCAGCTCAGGCTGGACATGAAGTGGAGCTATGTTCAAATGTACAGTGATTAGACCATTTTATCAAAGACCTTGGCAACTTGTTTCCAGCACATCCATGAGCACTGTCACAGCCATGTGATACCTCAGAGAGTGACCCAACTCTCCTTTCTCCTACTTGGTATCCTTACTTCCTAGGAAGTAGTACCTCTGGGATTCTTGAAATATTACAGTGACTTATGTTCAGATATGTCTGGAGTGATGGTGAGAATATTCAGGGGATTCTACCAGATAGAGCATGTGGCTGGTATGTCTAATCATTATGATTTTCTCAGGAATAACTAGTGTTCCTAGCATACATACGGGACTTTCAGTACTAAGCTAGGAGAACTTTGGGCAGACTAAGATGAGTTGGTCATGCTGTGCCTTATACACAGGTGCACTAGTATCTGCTAATTGCCCTGACATCATGACACTGTGTAGGAAATTTGTCAATGATCCTTTTACAAGAATATATTATTGGACAAAGAAGGGAGAAGATGAACCATTTTTGTCTTCAAAGCAAACCTGGCTCCTCCTGGTAGCTCTAAGACAAAGTTACTATATGTGACATAGATCAAAACAGAGGATAGTTCCCCTCCCCCAGCTCTGCCCTGAATCAGAGGATGAAGAGTCCAATTTTGTCAAACAGCATCATCATCCAAGTGGTTAGAAGCAGGGAGAACAGCAAACATGGACTGGTTTTACTCATGTCCGAGAGGTATGAGAGACACAAATGCTTAGCATTGCTCACCTGATGAATTTATGAGCCAGCTGTTCCACAAAGTAGTAGATCTCATTCCAGTGGTGCAGCACACTCCCTGACCTGGGAAGACAAAAGCAGGTGGTATTGACTCCAGTGTTCTTTTGTCTCTGCCTTGTAGTATTTCTCTTCACATTCTACTGGTTCCATTAACCTATTAGCTGGGCTTATCACCTGAAGCTAACATAAGCCTGGGAATTATTTGAATGGCTGTTTCAACTTTCTGTTATGAATTCATTTCAGCCATGACAAATTCTTACAAAATTTCATTAAGGAACTTTCTCCATTCTATCTCCTCTTGCCACTATCACTATGCCCACTGATATGCTGGAAGACAAATAAACCAAGAACTTCCAGCCCAAAAAGATTCACAAATTAGTTCTAAATCTTTAGGCTGTCATTCTTTCCCTGATGAAAAAGAAGAGCTATTCTTTTTAATTTATTATTTTTTAAGTATGTTCTTTTGCAGTATTGCAGTTAAGGTTGTTATGCTTGCTAGGCAGATGCTCTGCTACTTAAATCAAGCCTCCAGCCCTTTTTTGCTTTAGTTATTTTTCAAATAGGCTCCTTTCCTCCCCCCCCTCCCCCGCAGACTAGCCTCGGCTGTAATCCTATTTATACTTCCATGTACCTGGGATGACAGGCACATATGTACCACTGTGCTCAGCAATTTTTATTGATTGAAATGGAGTCACAGACTTTCTGCCTAGGCCAGCCCTGACACACCCCGCTCCTGGCTCCTGATTTTTGCTCCTCCCCTACCCACCCCCCCAGCTATAATTCTTTCAAATGAAATCAGCACAAACAGAAAAACAAAGACCTATGATACCCCCCCTTGAGAATCCAATTTCATTTGTAAATACGGATGCAAATTCCTTAAAGGTCAGCATAGTAAATACAGCAGAAATACAAAATAATTATCCCTTGGTGATTCCCTCAAGAGAATTTCTTTTTAATAATGAACTTTGTAGTTTTTTCCTAGCGTTCTGATTAATATGACTAATCACATTATGAATGCTTAACTCTTAGTGCCTTCCTGAAATAAAATCAACATAAGAAAAAAATATTCAGCTCTTCCTCGAAACACAGAAATGCAAACTGAAGCATGTCAGAAATACTACTTTATGCCATTCAGATTCAGCAAAAATCAAAATGTCTGACAATACAAGTGCTGATGAGAACATGGACAAAATAGGAATGCCCATATATTGCTGAGATATGAGAAATGATGAAAATATTTTGGAAAGCAATTTGGCAATGAGGTTGAAGCCAAACAGTGCCTATAACCAGCAATTTTGCTTCTACATTTATAGTCTCCCATTCAAAGAAGTGTGTATAAGAATCTTGTATAATAAGGATGGTGATTGACATGCTGTTGATTGAAGAAAAAAATAACTAATATCATTGGCAGGTAATTGCTGTGAATATGCTAACACACACCACCTATTTCAAGAAACAGTAAAAACAAATGTGAAACGATGTTAACATTTGCTCAGTTTATGTCAATAACTCATTGGCATTATGTTATTTTCTGTCCTTTTCCAAAGATTCTAGGTTGTTTTAGAATTTTACAAAGGGCTTATAGGAAGAGTCAAAAGGCAAGTAGTCTGTCTTGGATTCTTCTACATCTAGATAAATTTGTTGTGGTTGTCATGTCACGCTCTGACATTAAATGCTTTTCTCACTTGTTTGTGATAGTATCTGGCATAACTAGCAGCAAGGGACTGATACTATAGGTGTCATATTTCTTAATTAAGCTGCAAAAATATCTTACTTGCTGGCATTATTCTAGCTGTCCAAGGTACACAGAATAAGAAGTGTTATTCCCTTCCAACTACTCATAGTTGAGCAAGAAACTCAGAATAATTAAGATGTCAATGTGATGATAAGAAATGTGGTTGAGGTTTAGACTTTGAGAACAAAATAAAGGGAGTGGCATGCTCTTTCTATGCAGGCTTTGAAGACAGATACACTTAAGCTTTGATCTGGATCGGTAAAGCTAAGAAGCCAAAGGGATAAAAGCAACAGGTGAGAAACTCTGAGTCCTGTGCTTAGCCAAGAACAAAGATTTTCATGAGACAGCACCACACAGCCTACTAAGGAGAGGGTGAGAAGTGGGAAAATGGGGGAAAGGAGTGGGTCTTCATGTGTGGGGCATTCCTTATCTCCACTGGCAAACTCCAATCTATTCTTCAAGACTCTGTTGTTATGGACCAACATGTAATCTCAGGGCATTAGGTTGTCATCTGCTTCTGATGCTGGAATGCAGTCATTTCCCCCCTCCCCCCAACCTCTACACTCCCAAGCTCCCTTTGTGAAAGCCTTCACAAAATGTGCTTTTTTTCCTTCTTTTGTTGTGTTTGTGTGTGTCTTTTTAAAATTTCTGTACTTTGGGTCTTGTATATAAGTTTATCTTATTTGGGAAGGGTAAGGAGGAGCCCAGAAATAGGGGTCAAAGAGTGAACAAATGTAGCAGTGATATTCAGTAGACACTAGGTTGAAAATGAACTGAGCAACTTGTGAGGCAGGGAGATGAGGAGGGAAACCCTGGGAGTCAACAGGAGAAGAGGTGAGGCTGTTCAGAAAGAAATTTACTCATGACCTGACTCACATAACCGCAACACTTTGATACTAAAAGTGAATACATTTTGAAAAGAGGAAAAGAAAAAGAAGTGTGAAAAAGGCACACCTTCGTTGCTATGGAAGCCTCCTGGTCTTTTGTAGATGAGATACTACCTGTTCCACCTGGCTTGGATAAACATCTGTATCTTCTTTCTTTCTTTTTTAATTTTTAGGATTTATTTTCAACTTCTCTACAAACGTATTTCTTTATCGTTCTATTTTGCTTATGCTTGGAGATTTAGTAAGATCAAATTACCAGAGGGGAAAACAGGTTCATCAGATCAACCATGATTTATTGAATTTAGAAAACTGTCTCTACAAATCCCTGGGGTGTTTTTGTTTGCTTTATATTTTTTGTCTTGCCTTTTGCTTCTTTTTATAATTATCTTTAAATAGTTGTACAGAGGAGTTGCTATTTAAGAAGGCAGTTTATGAAGGTAATATATCTGGATCAATGCCACCCCTTTCAACATTTTCATTCATCTCTTGTGACTGACATGACCCTAAGGAGCCTTCCCACAGGTCCTGGGTGACTTGGCCCACCAAATTATCAACAACAGATCAACAGCAATCATCAATGATAGGTCAAAAGCTGTTGTGAGTCTGCCAAGGGCTCATCACAGCTGTACATCTTAGCTATGGGCTTTGGAAGCATTAAAATCATATCATTAAGACCTCAGCCATCCTTTTAGACAGGATTCAGTTGTGTATTTAAAACCTTAAAGGTTGGTCCCAGCTGATCCCCTTCAGCCTTGGGTAGAGGCTCTGGTCCTGGGAATCCTGGGAGAGGCACTGGCACTGCCCAGTGCTGTCTGGGTGCCTCAAAAGAGGTATTACATGACTAGTTTTCAGCCTATCCAAAATTCTACTTCCCTTTTCCACTAGAACTGAGATATTTCCTTGAACACTCACCAGCTGTAATGCAATTTTCTTGTTTCTTTTTTTGTCTATATAACCAGGACAATCATCCTCTAAAATTTCTGGAGAGATAAGGTGAGATGCCTAATGCTGAGAGGGAAAGCCCCACACTTTCTCTACTGTGTGCGATTTCCTCATGAAGAGAGAAGTTCTACAGTGAGGAAATTATACTTAAGAGAGACAAGAAAGTGATTCAGGAACTTAATCTCAAATTCGGAGATTACATTTGACTGCCTTCTTGAGGAGCAAGCATTTGAAGTCCATTTTAGACTAGTTCTTAATTACTAAGAACTTTACTTATTTCCTAATATTCTTTTTTTCTGTTCTGGGCTCAAAGTGAGGGCTTTAAACATGTCAAGAAAATGCTCTCCCATTGAGTATCACCAGTCTAGCATTTCCTGTGTGTGTGTGTGTGTGTGCGCGCGCGCGCGTGCGTGCGTGTGTGTGTGTGTGTGTGTGTGTGCGTGCGTGTGTGTGTGTGTGTGTATCGGTACTGGGTTTTAAATTGAGGGCCTCACATTTGCTAGGCAGGCTCTCTACCACCTTGCTTTTACTCCAACACTTGTTTTGCTCTAAGTTGTTTCTTTAGGTAGGTTCTTTCACTTAAAACACTCATTTTCATTATTGTTCTATCAGGCTAACAATGTATAATTTATATAGTTTGATATTCGCCTGGTTTATTGATGCTAGATGTGGAGGAAGATGTAAAATCTATACTTCTTGGGTGTTGAGGGTTTAGAACCTTCAAGACCTTTCTTGCTAATGGGCAACTACTGAGTTTTCTGAAGAACAAAGTGAGATTTCTTTTTCTGTTTGTTTCTTTTGTTGTTGTCATTTTAGTTTTGATACAGGGCCTTGCTGTATAGTCCAGGCTGGCCGTAAACTCATGATTAACCTACTGTAGCCCCCCAAGTGCTAAAATTATAGAGATGCACCACCATGCCCAGCCCCCCCCTTTTTTTTTAAAGAACTTTAAGACCAACTTGAGACAGGGCAGTACTGACAGGCTTCCTTCTCCTCCCATCTCTGCAAACAGCTGCCTTATCACTGTTGGGGTATGGATCATTGTTTCTTATATAGAGATGATAACTCTACATAATTGTCTATCTTGAGTCACAGTGGAGTTAATCATAGCCTGTTTTCCCAAGCATTGAAGGGAATCATAACTTTCTAAAGTTTCGGGAACCAGGCTAGTTTTGTTTTCTCTGGGTGATCCTGAAATCTTGAGGAGCTAAACTGACTACCAATCACAAACAGGTCAGCTCAGGCATTAGTTTTGGAAATGGCAGAGAGTGGATCCAATTCCAGCTTCCCTCCATTCTTCGGTGGATAAAACACCACGTTTATCATGCCAATCTGTGTAGGAGTGAATGATTTTAGATCCTAGCTAAGGAGTCCTGACAATATGTTCAGACTGCAAGACTCACCCAGCCTTGGTGATCCAAAGCTGTAAGTAGAAACAAGAAATTCCTTTTATTCAGTGCAGGTGGCTTAAGCCATAATCCTGGCTACTTGGGAAGCTG